GGTTGGCACGAGATATCAACGGATCAATGCAGGCCACACAAGTATTCTTGGAGCAATATGAGGGTCACACTATCATAATTGCTATGTATGTGGATGACATAATTATCACTGGTGATGATACGACAAAGATTGCTTAATTGAAGGGAAGATTGGGGAAGCATTTTGAAGTAAAGTATTTGAGACAACTCAAATATTTTCTTGGGATTGAAGTTGCCCATGGACCTGAGGGTTTTTTCCTATCTCAGAGAAAATATGTATTGGATCTTCTCATGGAGACATGTATGCGAGGGTGCAAGCCCGCAGTCTCTCCAATTGATCAGAAGGTCAAACTCAGTACAAAGATGGGTGAATCAGTCAATTGTGAGAGGTATCAGAGGCTGGCGGGCCGCCTGATCTATCTATGTACACTCGACCAGATATTTCATTTGCAGTAAGTGTGGTGAGCCGCTCTATGCATGATTCAAGGAAGGATCATATGGATGCATTGTATCAGATTTTGAGGTATCTAAAGTGTGCATTAGGGAAACAATTGATATTCAGGAAAAATGAACATGTAGATATTGAGGGCTTTTGTGATTCTGACTGGGCAAGTTGTGCTGATGACAAATGATCCACGTCGTGGTACTGCATATTTGTAGGTGGAAACTTGGTGTCGTGGAAGAGCAAAAAACAACCTGTTGTAGCAAGATCAACAGTAAATGTATAATACAGGGACATGGCATTAGGAGTTGCAGAGATGATGCGGCTGAAAGCTTTGTTGCTTGAATTCAAAGTGGATCTGAGAACTCAAATGAAATAGTGGTATGACAACAAGTCTGCAATCAACACGCTAACAGCCCGATGCAACACGATAGAACCAAATATGTAGAGATTGATAGATTGTTCATCAAGGAGAAGCTGAATAACGAATTATTGAAGCTAAATCTTGTATCTACTGGAGAGCAGGTGGCTTATTGCCTCATTAAAGGGCTTAGTTCAGTGATGTTAGCTTGATTATGTGACAAGATGGGCTCAGTGAATATATTTTACACATCTTGAGGGGGAGTGTTGAGAGTTGTGTAATAAGAGGGCTTTATTTGGTTTATTTGTAAAACGATGTAAACTCTATTTAAACATATATGCTGAATGAAATATTGAATATTGGCTTATTCACTTTCAATTATGTCCAATAGAAATAATCTAAAATTCTATATGCATTAATTTTCACTTTATTTTGTGAAGTTTAAATTTTTAACTCAAATATAAATCATACTATTAACTTTCACATTCATTACATGAGCACCATCAAAACATAATCGAATACTTCCATATTTGATATTATTTTGTCGGCACAACGGTTTGTGATATAAATTACAAGATTATCTAAGGTAGAATTATGTCTACTCGCCCCGTACCAATATTAGTTCGTCGACACTGCAGTTCATGATTTAAATTACAAGATTATCTTAGGTGGTAGGGTGTCTACTCACCCTGGGCTGATACTCTCAGAAGGGCACTGCAGTTAGTGATCGTAGTTTCACAATTGTGTAACGTGGTAGGAAAAAAATATCTCTATGCACGAGTAACTTGGTGTTCCCGCACAGTACTATAAGAGGGTGATTTCCTTCTTTTAACATGCACATAAAAGTATTAATGTATGCAATATTTTTATGCTTCATAACAGACAATTTCAAATCTAAAAATTTCATAAAAATCAGAAAATTTCAAACCAACTCAAATAAAAGAATTTTTTCTTTAATTAAAAATAAATAATAAATAAAAGAATGAAAACCAACCTCAAATGTGGACAATTTGAAAATAATAATTAACATTTGGGGCTACGATTTCTTGGACGACGAAACCCATGGTTGCTGACAATTATCTTTTGGTTAGAATAGATTATCTATGCTGACTAAGTAGGGCCAAACCCGACAGTATTGGGATACAGAACCATGAGATCTTGACTGGTGTCGTACCAAAATAAAATTTAATTATTTTTCTTCACCTTCACACTCACCAATCTTAGACGTCATAAAACACTCACCTATATAGACTTCATAGGAGTAGATAATTTTGTGGCGTGGTTTGCCCGTTAGAGATGTTTGATTAGAGTGAATTGCTTCACTAGACTGAATGTTTATTATGAGTAGATATTAATTTATGTGCTTTCTTATACCTGCTAGTTTAGGTTGCATTAGTTTTTTTTTAACATGTCTCTAGGTTGCTATAGTTAACCTAAGATATGCTAACTTATTTTTGCAGGGTTGTAGTAACACAGGGCTTAGTTAATTTGGATGGTTATAGTTTCATAGGTTTTTCTTTCTTGTTGGGTCTTTTCTTTTATAGAGTTTGACATTTGAATGATCCACAATAAGATGAACAAAATGTGTAGTGAACCCCAACTAAATAATAATGATCTTTAGATGTCAATTTTATATTGTCGAGTCTGATATTGGTCTAAGGTTTGTACCTTCAGTTGTGTCTTTGCTTTGTTGTCTTGTGTTCGATAGCCTGACACCAAAATTCAAGTTGTTTTTTTGTGTGTTTTTTGTCTGGATTCGAGATAGGCTTTATAATGGCTTTATGTTCTACTCAACTAAACAATTGAAACATAATTTTTTAAAATAAAATGGAACTCATAACCTCAAACAAAAATTACATTATCACACTGCATTCACAACTTAGTCAAACATGCATTCTAAAATAAAAAAAATTTACAATTAAATAAAATTGAGTATGAACCTATTTACTATTTTGGAATAATCACGAAAAAATTGTCATAGGCATGCTCATTCCATATGGTTCTATTCTTTGTATTCAGACCCTCACTCATTGTACGGAAATGGGTGTTTTGACCTGTGAGAACGACTATCTTATAGAATGTGTTCTTCTTATGCATACCAATTGACCTTTTGAACAAATCATTTGTGCATTCATCATCAAGGACATTGCATACCTATTTCACAGCTTGTTGATCACTTAATACTAAGAGTTAACTCAATATAATAAAACTCATCCGAGTGTGGTGAACTTTGAAATATTTATTTTTAAATTACAAAAAAGAAACTTGCATTATTTTTAGGGCATTTTGCATAACATACATATTTAGGCATCTTGATCGTTATGATTAAGTTGTAAGACCTACAATTCTTAATAAATAACAACTTTTCCTATTCTGCATCCATTGAGAGTGGTCTTCATGGTTTTAAAATGCATTTAAGTGGTTTGGATGATAGCATTTTTTAGTCAGGGTTGTAAGTTCATTTTGCATGTTTGATTGTGTGCTTTCTTTCTTTAGACTAAGTTTCGATGTTTCACTTTTTTCAGTGAACATCGCCTTAGTTTTAGGATTCTGAGATTGTTTGTCTTGCATGATGTAAATCCTCGCCTTCTCGGCTTTCTCACGATCATGGGATATAAGTTCTAAAGTTCTAAATAAAAAATGTAAGGATTCAAACATCAAATAGTTTTTCTTTCAAAAATGTAAAGTTAAACCATAAGATAGTTGAGATGTCATTGATGTTTCCTTGATATCTTCGACATCTCTTACTTATCATTTCTTCGGGTTTCCGAAATAATTTTTCTACATTTAGCACTTTCTAGTTGATTTTTTTATAATCAATCGTGGAAATTAAATTTTGAATTCTTGAAGACATAACCCTAATCTTAATCAAGAATTTTCTTAAGTGATTTTAATTGTTTAAGTTGTAATTAACTATAGGGGTTTGCGCCTATATGAGATTAGTAAGCCAGATAATTTAAACTATATCTAATTTTTGTATTAGATAGAGGAAATTATCTAATCTTCATGTTAGATAGGGGAACGGTCTTTTGTTATTTTTGCTGACCAAACAAATTTTATAAATTTGTTAGTATGAATAACTGAACCCATTATTAAGTCATATTCTCATCTTTTGAGATGACATATTACTTATAATGTCATCTTCGATTATTTAAATAATTAAATATTTGAGTTCTCTTCAGTTTTATTTTCATAATCAAATCTTTCAAACAAAAATAAAACCAACACTCTTTTACTCGGAAACCGCATAGGAGTGCACACAAGGCTCGGTTCTCCCCCTCCCGCATGATGTCTTCTTCCTGCCAGCACCAATGCTTCGTCGACATCGTCTTCTTCCTCTTCTGCTCACAACTCACGGGGTCGTTCACATGCAAAGTGAGGCTTATTGAGTCTTCAGCTTTGACTCTTCCCCTCTCATGTGATGACGCCTACGCACGCATTGCCTTCCTTGTCCTAGACGCACGCAAGCACATCCAGGTTATAAGGCCTCCTCCTCGTTCTTGTTTTTCTTCTTCTTCTTCCACATAAGATGCTCTATGCTTCTCTGTTTCTCGTTCTCACTCTTATTCGACTTGGAAGAGACATTTGTCTCTTAAGAAGTAACAGTCAAGAAGGTTGGTTTGAACCGAAATTTCCAAATAATATATATTTTTTTTTTTCAGATAGTACAATGTCAGCTTAAGCTTCAACAATTCATATTACACCCAACCAAGGTTCCATATAATTTGTGATTCTTATAGGTCTTGTTGATTTTATAGCATGGTCAGGCAATGTTCAAAAGTGGGCGTCTCCCCCTGGCTCTATATATTTTCTTAGCTCTTAGTGCGTGGCTAATGAAATTAAAATAGCTTTTATTTGAAATTTAGTGATAGTGGGGATGTTGTTGACATGCATGCAAGAGTAGTTCCAAATAAGGGATACTGTACTAGTAGTGGACTTTACATTTAGGGGCCCTCTGATAACAGATTTAAGATCCCCTTAGTATAAACTATTGAGTTCATGGGCATCTGACATCTATTATTGGGCTCAACCTAAATCCCCACTTCGGGTGTTACAGCCTTGGCGGTCTTTTTTGCTTCAACGTTTTTGAATCAATACACTATTTATTACATCTCAGTTCTATCAGACATACATTCAGTTTTGCATCCATTTAATAGTCGTACAGTAGCCAATGGATTTATATGGACTCCAAATCATAACTTCATTTACTAGCTAACAGGTGGAATGGTCTGGAGGCGTTGAAACAATGGATGAAATCCTCTCCAGAATCTATCAAAGAGAAGAAGCTGCAGTTAAACGCGAACGGGCCATGGCCTATGCATTCTCTCATCAGGTTTGCTATAAAATAATCTATTCAATGTTTTCACCAACCAACTAAAACATGGCTTATCCTACTGCAGTGGAGGGCCAACCCTGGTGCAAACCATTGGCAGACATATGAAATTGGTAGTGGAAATTGGGGCTGGAGCTGGATGGAAAGATGGATTACTGCTCGCCCATGGGAGATGAGGATCTCTAGCCTTCAGAAAACACAATCTAAAGTAGCAGTCAAGGCAATTAAGAAGGGAGATCCATCCATAGCCAGTGCACAAAGCTCAACCAAGCCTCCCATTCCCACCACTAAGATCCCTGCAAAGAAGTTTTCAGCTCGTTTGGTAGAAGAAAAGGCTGCTAACAAAGAACAGAATCCCGCTATGGTGACTATGCAGACCTGTGAAGTTGTCTGAGAACACCAATCCACAACATTAAACATGCTGAGTGGTAAATAATGATAGATTGAAGCCTCCTTCGTTCATTTTTTCACAGTGAAAGTTTAGAAAGTCTCTGAAAAGAATCCCTGCACCTGCGACATCCTGCGTCTTTTTTGAAGAACTTGATTGGCCATGCACTCTCTCCTACATAAAGTGCAGGTTACTGCTGGAAAAGAAAGGTTAGCTGTAATTTATCTTTATGTGTGTGCTGTCCATGTGATCTTAGCTTTCACAGATTGGTTGTGGGTTGAAAGATTGTTTGTCCTTTAAACCCTCACAATAGCTTCTTCTTTAGAATAAGATGGGGCTGTGGCTCCGGAGATGTGGACTGCTTCGCATGATTGTGTTGTGTTGCCCACTTTTCAAACAATGATCCCTGTACATTTTTTCGTTTCTTTTTCCTTGTCATTTACTTAATTTTATACTTCCTACCGTACATTTCGTTGGTATTTTTAACATTCACTTGTTTTTATGCATCCTTCCCCTCTTTGTTCTTTTTCTTTTGAGTTTTAGATTGAAATTCAACCTATCAATGCTAGGGCTATAAACGAGCCGAGCATAAGCGAGCTCAGGCTGGGCTCGTGTTTGGCTCGTTCGAAAATTTCTATGTATTTTTATATTAACACCTAATCCTACTTTTCACATTTATACAACCAAAATCTTTTTTTTTTTTTCACATCAAAAATACTTTTTTTTAACTTTTAAGATTGAAATACATATCTTAGAACCGAAGTTTAGGTGTTGGACTTGTAAATTCATAGGAATTAGGTGCTAGATATGTAAATAGTACAAAAACATTGAAGTAAAATTGTGAAAATCAAATGGGATATTGAATTAGAAAAAGAAGGGAAAGATTTAATGCTCAAATGATCAATCAGCATAAAATATGAAGATGTAGCAAATGTAGAAATTATTTAAATGTCATAATAATGATACAAATAATACAACAACAACAACAACAATAGTAACAAAGCCTTAATCCCATGTGGGGTCGGCTACATGAATCTTTTTTTTCCATTGCCTCCTATTTAGTGTTATATTTTCATTTAGTTCTAGTAAATTAAGATCATTTTTAATACAATAAGCCCAAGTCTTTCTAGGTCTACCACCATCTTTCTTAACACAAGTCGAATCTAAAACATCTATAAAACATCTAAAACATCTACTCCCCTAATCAGATCATCAGATGGTCGACGTTAAATGTGACCAAACCATCTAAGACGACTTTCTCTAATTTTGTCCATCACAGGAGCTAACACCAACCATAATAATGATACAAATATGTGAGAATAATAAAAAGAAATCCTTTATGAATTATAGAGCATGAACAAAAAAAAAAAAGTTTATTTAGTCTGATTTCTATATATATGGTCATCTATTAGATGATGCTAAATTAATCAAGATTTGAACATGTCATCTCATCAAAATTGCATTAGGCTCATTCTGATTCTAAGCAAAAGTCATGAATATTTTTTTGAGCATATAAATTAATTTAAATATTTGAAGAGGGCATACATTAAATATTTGCTATTAAAAGCATCAAATTGTGGATGTATATAAATCAAGTATGCAAGAAACTATTCATATCAAATTAATGATTAAGAGGATTAACATAGTTTTTTTAGCATTTAAATGAAGTATGCAAGAACACAATCAAATTGGTTTACATAATAAGTTTATTCATTTCAATTAAATATTAATGCATTCTATTCTATACAATATGTTAATCCTCTTAATCATTTGCCCTTCTTTAGAAGTTTTAAAGCTTGAATGGTATTAAGATTCTACAATCATGATTTTAATTCCTCTAGGTGAAATAGTCATTTTGATTATATAAATGCAAAACATAGAGTGATTATAATCTCTTAAGTGATATCCTAAAATTTTAAATTGCATTTTTCAAGTGTTTGATTTCGTTTCATTTAATGAGAACACACATGCTCTTTTACAACTATATTAAATCCTCGCAGGCGATTAGGGAACTTATTCAGGAATTAACTCATTAGGTGATCAATCAATCAATCTAATTAAATTTTTAAAATCTTATTTAAAATATAAAACCAAATAATCTCCTAATATTTTTTTCTTATCTTTTTTTTATTATTATTGTCTATTAAAATAGTTGTAGCAAACAAAAGAAAATCACAAATATAAAGGTAAAATAAGTTGAGAGAAGCTCATAAAATAAATGAAATCTTTTACATGAAAAATTAAGTGAGAGGAAAAGGCCCCCGACTTAATTAAATTGAATAACCCTATAAATATAAGCTTTAGACTATGGAATATTGTCTCCCATTATTTAATATGGTAAAAATAAATTGTTGAAGATAACTCTCATATTAGAAGTGGGGACATTCTTACTTCAACTAAAAATTAATACATTACATCTAGTAATTTATGATAATCTTTAGCAATTTCAATGCTCTAATGACATTCTTCTATTTAGATACTCATTTTGATTATAAGAATATAAAATTTAGAAAGTATTTTATCTCGAATATAATACCATAATTTTTTTTATTTTATATTGATGGTCATTAAGACTTAAATTAAGAGCAATTTATATCATTGGTTAATCTCTTATAAATATTTGTTTTGAGTGTTAACAAACAAAATTTTAATGATGAAAATCATTTCAAATAATTTTTAATTAAAATCTTAATCCTTTTGAGTTCTTAGAAGATTGAAATGTTGGATCGATGATTTGATTTACTTTTTAAGCCTTGGCTGGAAGAGAGAACCAATTAACATCATAATATTTTTGTCTTTCATCTCTCTTTTGTTATAAGTTGGAATATTTGTGGCTGCAGAAAGAAAAATTATCATATTAGCATTTTAAAAAATTTTACACACAAAAAGATGAGATAAGCTAAGGGCATGAAAAATAAAAATTATTACTTATCAAAATTGATTAAATATATTAATATGAGTTGTAGATTATGGATGATATTTTCCCATTATATAATATGATAACAATGAACTATTGAAGGCAGCTCTCATATTCCCCCAAAGTTGAGAGAGAGAGATAGAGAGAGAGAGTAGGGCTGTCAAATTGGCTTCGGCTCGTTAAGAAGCTCGTGTTCGGCTCATTAGGCTTAACGAACGAGCAGAACACGAACAAATTTTGAAGCTCGAAATGTAAACGAGCCGAACAAGACCAACAGTTTGTTTGCTCGTGTTCGGCTCGAAATGGCTCGAAAAAAAAAAAATTATATAACTTTTTATATAATAATATATTACATGTATTATTTATATAATAATATATTATATATATTTATGTCTAAGTTTAAATCATAACACATCATGTGGCAATGTGGTTAGTGTCTTCTTTTGTATAATTTGATCTAAATTTGAATCACACACTTTACATTTATTTTTCTCAATTTTAGTTTAACGAGCCAATTTCGAGCCGAACACGAGCCGAACACGAACACGAATATTTAAATCGAGTCGAACACGAACACACTGTTCAGGAGCCGATTTCAAACACGACCTATTTCGAACGAGCCAAGCCTGAGCTCGCTCAAGCTTGGCCCGTTTACAGCCCTAGGGGGAAGTATGGAGGTTCTGATAATTTTAACTAAATTAATGAATTTCATCTAATTGATCATGTTGAACTATTTGATTATATGATATTCCTTAGAAATTTTAAGGCAGTGATGATATTCGGATTGTGCAATCTTAGTTTTGTTGGATTTTTTTTTTGTTTAGATGCTCTTAAACAATAAAAATGCAAGATTCTTTGATTATTTAATCTTTTAATTAGTGTTATTAAACTTTAATTATATTGTCAAACACTTGATTTACGTACATCAAACTTTGATATCCCTAGGTTTTTCATTTCCAAATATTTGCTTTGATTATAATTTTAGTAAAAACAAAATTTGAATGGTCTCAAAAATTGATTTGAAAACTTTTGAATTTAAACATTTAAGACTTTTGTGGAGTTACAATCTCATGATGGTCAATATTTGATCAGATTAATTTTATAATGATGTATCATCCTTATATATGTTCTTTTACTATGTGACAAGAAAATTTATTAGTGGAGCATTAGTACTCATAAAATAGAAATAGGGTGGCACAAGCCCTCTTGTACCTCTCTTAAATTCTTTCTTGTGAATAGGCGACTTATGGTCCGTTTGGGCAGCTTATAAGTGCGGGCGGCGTTTTCAAAACGCCGTCGTACCGTTTGGTTTGCGTGTTTCGTCAGCTTATCTGAAACTGTGTTTCGGTTTTTACACTAAACGTAGGTCGCGAGTCGACCCCTGCGGCCGGCCCGCGGGCCGCGTTTCAGGATAAGCAGTTTATCCTGAAACGCATAAACTGCCCCAAACGGACCCTTAGTCATAATTGAAGTAGTTAGATTGTTCAATTTAATTTAAATTTGTAAATAATACTTAAAAGAGAAAACTAGGTTGCCTGCTAAAATTTTTGTCTCTCCTCTTCTTTTGTTATGTGTTGAAATGTTTGAGGCGGGCGAATAAAATTTATTATCTTAGTGTTTTATAAAAATTTTACAACACGCACAAGAAATAAGTGAGAGCAGCTCATGAGAGACAAATTTTTTCATATTGAAAATGTAATAAGAGAAAAAACCCTAGACTTGACTAAATAAGAATAATCCTATTGATATAAATTGTTGATTGTAATTAATATAATCCAATCATACAATATAATAGAAAAGAATCATTGAAGAAACCTTATGATAGAAGTAGGGCTATTTCTGTCATTTTTTTCAAAAAAATTAATATATTCCATCAAATGAACTTTGTTGATCCATTTGATTTAATGATATTAATTATTCATATTAATGCTTGAATAGTTTTAGGATTTTGCAATATTGATTTAATTATATTTTTCTTGTTAAAATGTTTATTTTGATTATAAATTCAGCCCTCCAAATGGTGTCATAAAATTTCCAATTATATTTTCTAGTGCTTAATTTAGTCCATGTAGACTCAAATCAAGGGTTGGGG